GTATCAGAGTGTTCCATCTTGTTTCCCTTTAGGGTTGCTTTAGGTGATCTGGAAGTCTGGTTTTGAGACTTGTTTACATGTCTTCTCATTTTTGATGAGGGGGGATTGCTGATGCCTGCTTGGCTCACCTCCTCTGCACTGAGGGGGGTGGTACAGCAGCCCGGAAGCCTCCTCCTGGGCACTGGGCTGCACACACTTCTAATCCAGCACTTTGGAAGGCTGAGACAGAAGGTTCACAAGTTCAAACCCAGCATGGACAACTTAACAAGTTAGCAAGACTGTCTCAAACTAAAAAAGGGCTGAGGATCCAGCTCAGTGCAGAGGCCTTGGGTTCAATCCCTAGTAGTGGGGCATTATAAACTGTCCCAGGTCTTTGGGAAATAGGCAAAGTACTATATAAATTATAAGTAGCCCTGCAGGCACTGGAATCCTGTTCAGTTCTTTTAAAAACTCTTGATTTGAGAAAATTTTGCTTTTCTCCTTTTAATCTTGGTCCTCTTCGCATTGTCTCCAGTGTAGAATAGCCTTCTCTGTTCTTTTTTTTTTTTTTTCTGGTACTGGATCAAGCATAGGGCCTTGTGCTTGCTAGGTAGGCCTAGCACTGCTGAGCTACGTCCTGGCCCCTCTGTTCTCTTCTGATGGTGCTTTGTGATCTTTTGACAATCCACATGAGATATAGATTATGCTTTAACACTTGGAACTGGTATTTCATTTCCTTGGTCAAGATGTCTTTGGGCAAGCTGGCTATAGCTATAATCCTAGCTTCTCGGGAAGCTGAGGTAGGAGGATCGCAAGTTTGAGGCCAGCCTGGCCAATTTAGCAAACAAAACAAAATTAGGTGGGCGTGGTGGTGCATACCTATACAATTTCAGCATTGGTGAGGGGCCTGAGACAGGAGGATCACCATGAGTTCAGGGTCAGCCTACACTACATAGTGAGACCCTGTCTCAAAAAAAATTAAAAACAGTAAAATTAAAATAAGAATTGGGGGCCCAGGGATTTAGCTCAGTGGTTCCACTGCCTGCCTCGCAATCCCAAGGTCCTGAATTCAATCCTCATACTAAAAAATAAATAAATAAGGGCTGGGGATGTGGCTCAGCACGAGAGCACTTGCCTAGTGTGCACCAAGGCCCTGGATTCAATCCCCAGAACCACATTTTTTAAAAAAGTCTTTGAAAGACATAGTAAGATTGAGAAAAGCAGCCCATGTGAATTCAAGGACAACATTGCCTATGATATCTGCCACCATCCTGACATACAGCTTTTGTGCCAGTGGCTCTAGCCATGCGGAGTGGCTGAGACAGTGTGGCTGGTCTGAAAAGGTAGGAACGCTCAGCCAGGTCCTAGCCTCTTTCTGAGCCTGGACACAGTGTCTTGATTCTTGCAGCCTTTGAAATTTAGAATTTTGTAGCCTGGAAACTATGAACCCTTCCTGGATTTTGTTTACTAGTAGTCACATACATTGTGTCTTGCTCTTAACCTGGAAGATGTATGTGTGTGCTTCCTTCTCAAGGTAGAATTCTCAAATTCTTTTCAGATGCTGAAGAAAGAAGAAGCAATTCCATGGCCTGGAACTTTAGCAATTGTTCATTCCTATATTGCCTACAAAGCAGGTAAAGGATTACCCATAGCCCTTTTTTGGTAAGGCTCACCTTCTTAAAAAAGAAATTATTTCCAGGCATGGTGGTGCATGTCTGTAATTCCAGCACTCAGGAGGCTGAGAAAGGAGGATCACTGTGAGTTTCAGGCCAGCCTGGGCTACATAGGGAACTCAAGGCCAGCCTGAATTACATAGCAAGACCTTGTCTCAGAAAAACAAAAAAGGAAGAAAGACATTGTTAGCCAGGTGCAGTGGGACATGCCTGTAATCCCAGCTACTTGGAAAGCTGAGGCAGAAGGATTGCAAATTTGAAGCAAATCTGGACAACTCAATGAAACCTTGTCTCAAAAAGTAAGACAGGGGCCAGGGATTTACCTCAGTGGTGCCCACCTGCCTCACAAGCACAAGGTCCTGAATTTGATCCCCGATACAAAGAAACAAAAAAAATGAAACAAAAAATAAGTAAGATGAGCTGGGAAGGTAGCCTGGTGGTAGTATGCTTGCCCAGCATGCACGAAACCCTAGATTCAGCCCCTAATACTGAGGCAGCATTTGTTTTGTTTTCAAAGCTGGGTACAATGGTGCACGCCTGTAATCCTAGCACTTGGGCGGCTGAGGCAGGGGGATCACCTTGAGTTCAAGGCCAACCTGGACTACATGGCAAGACCTTGTCTCAAATAAAACAAAATAAAATAAAATGAAAACCTTTTATTGAAAGAAGCAGAAAGCTTGCGCACCAGCTTCTTGGGGAAGAAAAATGAGAAGTGTGGGATCTTACCTGTACAGCCCAGCCGAAGCTTCGGACACTTTTCTATGCAAACCCGGACATAGAACAGTAGAGGGGTGTTGAGTTTTTCGGTTCAGCTGGGAAACTTGGGGGCGCTCCAGGGGAGGTGCCTTCCTTGGCAAGCATTTTGAGCACAGCCTTTCCAACGAATTCGTTGGTAACAACTGTCCCTCTTTTTTCCAGCTAAAGAAGAAGAGAAACAAAAGTTACTTAAATGGAGTTCAGATTTAAAACAAGAGCGAGAACAGTTAGAGCAGAAGGTGAAACAGCTCAGCAGTTCTATAAGTGTAAGTCACCATCCTGCTCCTGGTGGCAGACCGCAGACGCCCAGGTGTAGATGCTCGAGAACATAGCAGGACACGGTCCTAGTGCGGCACAGGTCCTTGCACTGTTGGGGTGGGTAGTGTGGGCCGTCAAGAATGGCTTGCGGTGAGGGTTCAGCTCAAGGTGCAGCCCAGTTGCACCTTACCCAAGCTCTGGAGCATCTTCTTGGCTTTAATCTGAGAGGATTTTTTTCCCCTGAACCTGGATGGATCAAGTAGCAGCCACAGTGCAGTCCCCGCCCCGTGTACTTCTGACTGTCTGCAGAGTGAGACCCTCACCTGGCCCTGGGTGGACACAGGCCGGGTCCCTGGGGTGACTCCTGGTCCGGAGCTGAGGGTGCACCCATCGGCCCCTCCCTTGTCCCCTTTCTTCCACACTGTGCTGACAGCACTTCTTAGTTTTCCTGAGCAGTGTGACAAAGAGGGGTCCCATTGAAAGGGTTCAGAGGTGTGTGTTGCCTGGCCCACCCCGGCCAGGCAGACACCCAGGCCTTCAGACAGTGGCAGGTTCCCTTTCCCCTGAGGAGAACAGGGTATCCTCAGCTCTCCCAGACACCAAGTGGTGCCCTGGACTCTGTGGCCATTGAGCTCTCCCAGTCACTTGCTTTCCCCTTACACACCCATCCTCGGCATGCAGATTTAATACCTCTCTCCCTTCGTGGAGCAGGCGCCAGCAGCTGTGGGGCCACAGTCCCCAAAACCTCTCGGGCCCTTCCCAAGCCCTGTCGCTAAGCTCTTAGGGACTGAGTGATTTCCCCAAGGCCTTCAGCTTCAACCCATATGTCATTTGCCTAGCTAGTTTTCTACCCAGAGCTCAGTGCGGTCCTCAGAGCCACCTGTTAGTGTGGCAGAGCACACCGTGCCCGCTCCAGCCAGCGTCAGGGCAGCTGTGGGAAGTTTTTAAGTGACTTTTATCGCATAGTTTTACAGTGGTTATGAAAGTTTGGCTTTTGTTTTTTTTTTGGGGGGGTACCAGGGATTGAACTCAGGTCCTTGTGCTTGCGTAGCAGGCGGCAAAACCACTGAGCTAAATCCCCAGCCCATGCAAGTTTGGTTTTAATTGCTAGTGTCCAATAGAATTGGCTTTTAAGCCATTCGCTTGTGCCCTCTCTTGCCCCTTGGGGGCTCCCTTTGCTTAGGAAGTAGCCACCACTCCAGGTGGAACCAAGCAAGTTCTGGGGGCTGCACACTGGCCCACAGGGCTCTTTTATGGGGCAGAGGCTGCTCCTCTGTGAGGCTGCCAGGCCTTTAGAAAAGCTGGCTGCTCAGAGGCCCGCCTTCTCATTTGCTGCAGAAATGCATGGAAATGAAGAACACCATCCTAGCCCGGCAGAAGGAGATGCACAGCTCCTTGGAGAAAGTAAAACAGCTAATCCGCCTCATCCACGGCATCGACCTCTCCAAACCTGTAGACTCTGAGGCCACTGTGGGGGCCATCTCCAATGGCCCGGACTGCACGCCCCCTGCCAGCGCCACCGCCTCCACACCCGCCCCGTCCCCGTCCTCCCAGAGCTGCACAGCGAACTGTAACCCAGGGGAAGAGACTAAATAACAGACCCCTCGAGAAGAAGCCACGGGATCCCGGCGGCAAGGAGAGTGAACGAAACACTGAAGACTCTAGAAAAGCAAAGCCGGATCGCTTCTGGAAAGTACAGAATTCTTTTGGTTCTTTGGTTCCAGAGAGAGAGAAGATGCTTGTGCCAGGTGGCACCCGAGTTTGCCAATTGATCCTTCTTATTCTGTGTGTACATGCAAAGATTGGACCATGTTACATGAAATAGTGCCAGCTGGAGGTTCTTTGCCAGCACCATGCCAAGTGAAATAATATATTTACTCTCTCTATTATACACCAGTGTGTGCCTGCAGCAGCCTCCACAGCCACGATGGGTTTGTTTTTGTTTTGTTGGGTGGGGAGCAGGGACGGGCGGAGGGAGGAGAGCAGGTTTCAGATCCTTATTTGCCGAGCCGTTTGTCTAGGTAGAGAAGACAAGTCCAAAGAGTGTGTGGGCTTTCCTGTTTCTAAACTTTCACTACTATCAAACCAAAAAAAGGAAAAAAAAGAAATCGAGATTTAACCAACCCCAGTGCCCAGAAGAGGGGCAGGGCGGGCCGGGCCGGGGCGGGATCTTGGGTGGGAAATATATCCCTAAGCAGTATTCTGTTATCAGGAGGGGCCATTTCGAGAGGGACACCGGGAAGGCACCAGCTTCTCCTCCCCAGCTCCACTCTTGCCTGGTGCCCGCCACCTTCCAGGCCTCCCTCCGCCTCCCCTTCTCCCCTTCTTGGTGAGTCACGCACCCCCAGACCGCCAGCCCCTCAGTCCCTGGAAACCGAGGCCAGCAGCCTTGCTGGCCTTGCCTGAGGCAGGGAAGAAGGGTGTGTGTGGTCCAGGAAGGAAAAAAGGTAAATTGGTAATTTTACTTGAAAAGAAGCTCCATCCCTTTTCTATATTTATGAGAAGAGAAGGCCCTGAGCAAAGCAGCGCGTGACCCAGGTGTGTGTGAACTGAATGGAGATGCTTCTTTCCCCTTTTTTTTTTTTTCAATTTTTGTTTTTCTTTTTTTTCTTTAAAGAAAGTTTTATTTTGTTGTTTATTTTACTTTTTTGGTAACAAAAACTAAACTAAGGAATAGAAAAGCTGTTTTCAGGCTGACAGTCCAGTTAAGGGTAGTCAAGACCTTGCATGGTAGAATAGGAATCATAGTGTCAGTGAGGTCAGTGAGTCTTTGTGAGTCCTGTGTCATCGTTTGGGCACTGTTTTTTTATGCAAGGGCAAAAATCTTTGTATCTGGGGAAAAACAACAACAACTTTTTTTTAAATTAAAAAGGAAAATAAAAGATACTGAGGTCTTCCTAGTGTTACTTAAATTAAGATCAAGGTAAGAAACATTGTAAAAAAAAATTACAAAAGTGCTATTTGTTTCCTAAAAACAGTGATTTCTATTAAAAAGGTGTCAGAACTGGAGAAAATGCCGTGTAGTTATAATTTTTTAGCACAGAACCTGCTGATCCTGATGACATTTTGCTGTGTTTGTGTCTCTGAACTAGCGGGCCAGTCCCCAGGAAGGGCCATGGGCTCCCCGCCCACCCTTCTCACAGAGTGCCCTCTCTTCCTGGTTTAGGGATCTGTCTCCTGTTTTTGAGTCCAAATGGAGTGTGCATGGTATCAGGGCCCTCCCCGCGGTCTCCTCGGTTTCCGCTAGAGCAAAGGCTGGTGCCTCAATAAGATCTTCCTTTGGTGCTGCTCTCTGTCTTTCAGCCACCAGCATTATGAGTGCCTGGGGCACCTCTGAGGGGTAGGCCAGCCAGGCCCCTTGCTGCCCCTTGGAGGGTGTGGTGCAGGCTAGCTGCATCAGCCCTTGGTGCTTGGAGAGAACAGAGGAGGAGGGAGGCGCTTGAGGGGACGTTTGTCTCTGAGACAGAGCTGGATGGCCTTGAGACTGTCTTGCTTTGGAGAGAGGTCGGAGGCTCCACCATGTTCTCTGCCTGCTGGCTCCGGGCACCGCCCACTCGCAGCTTCCTGGGCAACCATAAGCTAGAATTGCTGTGCTTGCCTTGGCTTGGCCTGTTGTGTCCTTTCCTTGTTGGGAAAACCAGGTTCTGAAAAGCTCAGAACGTCTCTCTATCATGCCGTGTGAGAAGTAAGTCCTGTCAGACGCATGTTCTTGCTGCAACTCTTTGTCCATTGCGTGTCCCTGGCTGAAGGGACGGAAGCAGAAGCTCTGCCTGTGGCCCCGCTGCAGCATCTCTTCTCAAGCCCACCCCAGGCCCCGTGATGGCCAGAGTCTACGTGAGGCAGAAAAGGCCCCTTAGCTCCTCTCTCTCCCATTTAGGCCCAGAGAGACAAAGACAGATTCTGAAACAAGAGCAGCAGAGAAGGGGTGCTTTGTAGAGTAAACACGCTCATCCTTGCCAGGTGTGGAAAGAAGGTTTGGGTTTGGCCGCACAGGCCTCAGGCAGGTCCTGGCTGCCAGGGTGGTTGAGGGGAACAGAGGAGCCCCCTCTTCTCATTCAGAAACTGAGGTGCTATGTCTAGTCAGGGAGCCTTGGAGATGCCTGGACTAGTTGGGACAATCATTGGCAGCGGATCAGAGGCCAGCAGAGGCTGAACGCCTGTCTCAGAGCGCTCTGCAGATGTGTCTGGACCAATAGGCTGGGGCTTGCCACACAGTGCCTGTCCTTCCAGGAAAGGAGCCTCTTCTCCAAGAGGAGGCACGGGCTGTGGACCAGGCCAGAAAGTGACCAGTTTTGCCTGCTTCTTTGAGCACTGACCTCTACCTTCTGACCTCACCTAAAGTCAAGGAACAGATTTTCCCTAAAGTTCAGACGCAAGCTATTGCGGAGTACAAATTGCAGCCCTGCCCCAAGCCTCCATCCTGGGCTCAGATTCTAAGATACCACCACACTGTCACGCAAGGGCCCCGGCCATGCCATCTCCTGTCCTGCACTGGCCTGCCATGCTAGGAGCTCAGCTCTGTCCCATCAGACCTGTGGGTGCCTATGAACCCCTGGGACACATGCCCACGATACTGCCCCACCTGAGCTGCCTCCTCCTCTTCCTCCTTTCCTTCTCTTGCTCTGACACCCACAAATGTAAGACAGGCTGGGTCTGTTGTCATTTCGGGGGCCCTGGACTGCGAATCCCCTTTTTGCCCCAGGTCAAGCGCAGCCCTGCTTGGGGGCTGGGAAGTGTGCCTACCTGTGTCATCTGCACATTTGTGTTCTTGCTGCCTGCCTGCCTGCAGGTCCTTCCACTTCCTCTGCCATGAACTGAGAGTCCCCATGTCCTCACTGAGCAGCCACAGCCCAGGTGCTGGGGGTGCTGTAAGGTCATGCTGCTGTCATTCCAACTTTTTATTCCAAGGAGCCTGCCGGGTCTTGCCTCACCCCTCCACCTCCACCCCACTAAGCTCATCTGATTCTGATTTCCCTCTTACCAGGCCCTTGGGGGCATGCCTGTCTGGGTACCTGACCAGGACCCAGTGAGAGGCAGTCCCTGGCGGGCCTTCTCTGTGTGGGGCGTCTCTAGTGCCCGCTACCAGGGTTGGAGAGCCTCCCACTGGCCGCCTCTGTCCCTGTTGCTGCTTGGCTCAGGTCCAGGGGCACTGTGAATGGGTGCGCTTGGGGCTCAGCCCTGGCCCCCATCTGTGGGTACAGCTGCCTGTCTGCCACCTCTGGCACTCTTGGGGCTGTCAGAGCCTCCTTGGGCTCTCAGCACCACCCTAGCTCACACACTCAACATCATCTCTTCCCTTTACTCCCTTCTTAGATGTGGTCCTTACTTACCTAAAGGGCTGAATTTAGGAGACTTTCACTGCAAGGGCAGGAGGTGCTTAGGGTAGCAGGACCAATGGTGGCCCAGGGACATCTTCCAGGCCCTGGGCGCTCCAGATCCCATAGCTTTTGTTGGATGGAGGCGACTTTGCTCTGTGTAAATGACTGGGACCTTGCCCCACCCCTCAGCAGGGCACCCTGGCAGGAAACAGGAGTCCCAGTCTCACCCTGACTTCAATCTCCCCCGTGTCACCTCCTCTCCCAGGGAGTTGGTGGCCCCTGGCGAACTCTTCTGGCCTTCCCACTAGAGTGGGAGTCCGCCGAGAGCCAGGGCTCTCACAAGAAACTCTTGGCAGGGAGGCAGGGCTCGAAGTCCCACAGGCACGCCCTCCTGAGACTTCCCCCCAGGGCTGCGCCCTCCCCCGGGGCCATGCCCCACACCTCTCTCCAGGGTCCTGGCTCCCAGCCCAGGGTGAGTCACAGTCAGGTGGGCCAGACGAGCAGGCCAGAGGTCAGCAAGCTCCAAGCGCAGGAGAGCCAGCCAGACCCCAATCCTGTCTCTTGTCCATGCCCTTTGTGATTTCAGTCTTGGTAGAACTTGTATTTGGAGTTTTGTGCTTCAAAGTTTTTGTTTTTGTTTGGTTTTTATTTTGAGGGGGTGGGGGGGATACAGAGCAGCTGATCAATTTGTATTTATTTATTTTAACATTTTACTAAATAAAGCCAAATAAAGTCTCTCAGCCTCATGGTGTTGGGTCCGGGGTAGGGCGGGGGGAAGATGCACTCCAGTTCCAGCCTCTGCCCTCCTTGGGTCTCACTGCCCACGAGGGACCCGGGGCTCCAGCAAGGGCGGCACCTCCCCTGGCCCTTGATGCCTTCTGACCCTAGAGAGCCCTTGATCCCCCAACCTGGAGGGATATAAAAATAACTTTACAACTTTAATTATCAAAAAGGAATGTGCAGTGGAGGATGGGGAGGCCAGCCCCAAACCAGCTGGGGCAAAGGGAGGCTTGATCCCGGCTGTGGCACAGCAGCAGGGGGAGGCCCCAGGCCCACCCACAGAGACCTTAAATAACTTAAATAGCTGCGGTGGTGGGAGGGCAGTGTGTGAGCCGAGGCCAGGACAGAGGTGGCACAGGTCCAGCCCAGCCCGGGGAGGCTCAGGCCGGGCTGTGGGGCTGTTGCAGGGCAGTGAGGTATTTGAGGGCAGCTGCCCCATAGCGGCGGGACAGGTCCTGGTGGAACTCCTCCTTGAGGGCCTGCAGGCAGCCACGATAGGTGGGGCTGGAGCGGAAGCGGGAGATGTCTAGGCTTGGCGTGTGTGGCAAGTGGATGGCGAAGGCCTCGGGCAGCACCAGGAGCTCGTACTCCTGCAGGGGTTGGGGAGGCCGCAGTGCTAGGGGTCAGACTTGCTCCACCCCTGCCCAGGAACGAAGCAAGGGCGAGGGAAAGGGCAGACTGACAGCTGCCTGCCTGGCAGAGACAGAGCTGGCCCAGGGGAGCTTGGGTCGATGTGGTGGCACCCAGCTGCCTCCTCACCTGTGCATCCAGCTCCACGGTATGGGCCACCTTGTTCCAGCCGAAGCCCACAAAGCGAGGGTCGTAGCGGGGACAGTCGCGTGGCACCACCACATAGGGCTCGTAGTCGGCCGCCCACTGCACACGGTAAGGCGCCTGAGCCGCCCGCCAGCGGGCATAGTCCGTGGGCGCGTGACCCCAGGGCCACTCATGGTACCTGCATGGCAGGCACAGGCGGGGCCGGGCTGAGGCCAGGTGCCCATGGGGCTGGGCCGGCATGAGGACAGCAGCAGAACGGCGGCCCCTCCTACCTGAAGGTGTAGAGGGCACCAGCATCCAGCAAGTCCAGCAGCTCAGCCTTGGACCTGGGGAAGCTGAAGCGGTAGCGTAGGGTCTCGAATGCCGGCACCACCAGAGCTGCCTTGCGCAGGCCGCCCAGCCCCAGCTGCTCAATGGAGGCCCTGAGGGGGAGTACAGTGACAGGAGGCCAGAGCAGGGACTCTGCCTTTGGGGTTGGTCCCGAACCTCCTTTCGAAGGACAGCCACCCTTGGCGCATCCAGTGCAGCAAGGCACAGTGGAGTTCTGGGATTTTGTTTTTGTTTTTGTTTGAAGCCATCCCAGCTGCCCCAGCTCTCAGCAGCCCAGAGAGAGCCTGACACAGCCCCCGGTGCGGAGGACCCAGCCCCACAGAGCAGCAGCCACGCGTTCCTCCCGGCCCACCTGAGGTAGTCATAGAGGGAGTGGGCAGGTAGAAAGTCAATATCACTGAGGAAGACATAAGGCGTCAGCGCCTGGGCCAAGGCCACATTGCGGAGCTGGTTGACAGGGTACAGCGGTCCCTCTCGGTACACCACGTGGTAGGCCACATCCTGCCGGGCAGACAGCACCGGCGAGGCCTCGACGAAATGCAGGAACTGCTGGGCCTCTGCGTCTGTGAGGTACAAGGCCAGGCTCATGGGGCCCGGCCAGTGCCTGCACAGGGCTTCGAGCATCTGCAGCCTGGGGTGAGGGGGGTGGTGAGCCTGGGGAGGGTAGGAAAACCTCCCCTGCACGGACGACCCTCCCAAGGGACATGAGCACCTGCCTTCTGGGCCAGTCTTAATCCCCCAACCCACCAGGTATGAGAAAACTCAGGACATGAGACATCAGGGCTCGTCCGAATCCCACAACTGCTGAGGGCCAGTTCTAGGTATCCAAATGACTCGGAAGCCCAAGCTCTCTCCCCTTCCACTGTCCCACTTCTAGAATACTTCCACCAGCAGCTACCAGGTGCAAAACTCTCCAAAATCCTAATCCCAGCCCTGCTCCCCAGGGCTGCCCCCAGTACCCTCACCGGTCCATGGAAAGCTGGGCCACCAGGGTGACATCGTGAGGCTGGGGAGGTGGTGGCTTGTGGGGCAGGAAGGTGATGTGCACGCGGTGCATGGTGAGCTGCTGCTGCCGGAACTCAAAGCAGGTATCTTCTTCATCGAGTTGGGCCAGGCTGTGCTGCAGCTGGGGGTGGGGGTGGGGGGTCAGGGACAGAAAGGCCAGGGCTGGGACAGGATGACATGTCCAGGTGACAGGTCCGCCCCAGCCAACCCTTCGAGCCATCAGAGCAGAGGGGCAGGGTGTCCTAAGGCAAGGGAAGGTGGCTCCCTCTCACCTCCTCAGCCCCAGTTGGGGGCTGGCTGGGGCACCCGAAGAGCTCTCTCCGCAGTAGATTTCCGTCATACCCCAGGAAGGTCAGATACAAGTTTCGGAAGAATTCTGCATCTTTGTTTTTCACCTGAAGCTTCTTTGGTGAGTTCCAGTGGATCACCTGGGACCCAAGAGGGCGTCAGTAGGGACACAGAGCAGGAAGCAGGAGTCCCCACTCCCATCCTCCCATCCTCCTCACCCTGCCCACCCTGCCATTGCTCAGACCCCCACCCCACTCACCTTGAGGTCGGCCGCCTCCAAGTAGCAACGCTCGGCCAGCGTGTGGTCTGAGAGCTGAACATTCCAGACACAGGGCAGGGACTGTACCAGCCCCGGGTGCTCCTTGATGACGGCATTGAAGATGTCCTAGGCAGCAGACACAGCCATCACGCCTCAACACACAGGCCGCCCCAGCCCATCCCCTACCGAGGTTTCCCAGACCTGGTCCGCCAGGGAGGTGGCAGGCTGGGTGAGGAGCTCCCGCCTAGCCGTCAGCTGCCACATCTGCTCCCAGCCCTCGTGCCGGAGGCGGTCCAGCCACAGCAAGATCACACCTGCCAACAGGGAGAGCTTGTCACCCCCTCGAGGAAAACCAGCTCCTGGAGGTAGGGGCCATGAAGGTGTCATCTGAATGTCTGTGTTTTGATTTCCTGGTACAGTCCAGAGTGGTATAAGGACATTTCAGTCAATGAAAAACCATATATACAATGGTCCCATATGACTGTGGTACTTTGTATTTTTGAGACAGGGTCTCACTGTGTAGCTCAGGCTGGCTTTAAACTGGAGGGAATCCTCCCACCTCAGATCCCAATTGCAGGTGTGCACTGCCACCCCCAGCTCCATCCCATCTAGTTTGTACAACTATACCCTGTGATTTCTGTGCAGCACAATTGCCTAATGATGCCATGGCTTTTGAAACCATTCCCATTTAACTGATGAGAAAACTGAGGCTTAGAGGGAACAAGCAGGCTGGCCAGTCATCCAGCACACAGGCTGAGATGTTTGCGGTGCTTATCCCGTGTTCTTTCCATCTCACGATTCTCCCTGGGGGAATGCCTGGCATTACGTGCCCTGCCCGGCCCCTGGGACTTAGTGGCCCACTCCCCGGGCCTCTCCCCAACACTGTGCCCACCTGTGTTAAATCCCCGACCCAAGGCAGGCCAGGGCCTGTGGTTCTTCCAGAGGTTGCCCAGGTACCAGTCGCTCTGGTTCTCCACGAGCCCGATCACCTGCTTGTCTGCGGGGGAGGGCATGAGGGAGCTGCTGAGGCTGCTGGGGACCGGGGCAAGTCAGGAAGGGGGCCGTTGAAGGCGGGGACCCAGGCCTCTCACCGGAGAAGTCAGCAAAGAGTGCCCAGAGCTCTGCGATGTCGGCAGCAAAGGTGACATCTGTGTCCAGGACAATGACTTGGGCCAGGCCAGGGGGCAGGACGCTGAGCAGCACTAGCTTCATTAGCCCATAGAGGCCAGAGTAGTGCTTGTTGGGGATCCAGGAGATGTGGGGCTGTGGGTGGGAAGGGCGGGGTGTGAGCTGGTGGGGAAGGGGCTCAGGGTGATGTGGTGGGGAACAAAGGGTGAAGGATCTGAGCATCAGGAGGTGTGGAAGCCAGGCCGGAGCTCCCCTCTCCCACCCCGCAGGGCAGCGTGAGGGAGGGGCTCCTGCCTTGAGCTGGTCGGCATCGTAGAAGCTGACCCCGAGGGCTGGCACCATCCACGTGCGGAAGAGCATCTCCAGGATGCTCCTGGCCACTGCATCGGTCACCAGGTGCAGGTGCAGCGGGTTTTTCCTTTCAGGTAGACAGAGAGGAAGCCTGAGAAGCCCCTGCAGGAAGGTGGGGTGAGCCTCACCCCAAGGGGTACCGATGCGGCGGCCAGGAGCTTGGCTTCAAAGTCTTGGCGGGATACTGCTCCCAGGGCTTCAGTTTCCTCCTCTGTGACCTGGGCAGGGTCCTCTCCTTCCTGGGGCTGCGGTGAGAACACCCCCGGCTGGGCCAGAGAGCTCTTGGCAGTGAGGAGACTTCCACCTGTGGAAGCTGAAGCTCTGGGAGAGGTACCCTGCCAAGACTTTGTCCTCTGCCCTCTATAGGCTTGCCCTGCCGACACCTGGCTGTACCTGTAGAAGAGCATGGACTTCACCAGGGTGACGACCTCTCGGCTGGAGTTGAGTCCTGCGCACACGATGGCCACGTGCAGCAGCTGGGGAGGGGACCCAGGTTAGCAGCAGCCTCCGCCCCCACTGCACCGCCAGGCTGAACTGGCCCGGCCCGGACCAGGGTGACCCCGCCTGACGTCTGCGCTAGGGACCAGTGTGAGTGTCCAGAGGGACGAGGAAACTGAGGCCGGGGCAGAGGAAAGCGCACTGCAGGAGGCCCCACTGGTGTCCAGATGGTACCTACCTGGCACCTGGGCGGGCGAGAGGCTCCATCGCGCGAGGCGGGCCTAGAAGGCCGCCCGTCTGGGAGTTCAGGCGGCGTGGGATGGCAGCAGGAGCCCCCCACGTCCTCAGCCCACGGGTCCCCACCAAGCAGAAAGAGCCCGACCAGGAGGAGCAGCCCGAGGAGCAGCACGGCGGCCCCCAGCGCCCGGGAGCGCCCTCGGGGCAGCATGGCCGTCGCGGGGCGCTCAGGGCGGGGCGCGGCCCGGAGCTGCGGGCCTCATCGCGGGCTGCGGACCAGGACGAGGTTAGCTGGTCGTGGGATGGCCCTGAACGCAGAGCTACCTCACCTGCTCGGCGCCCAGCCTGGCCCAGTGCGCCCCGGCCCGGTGCAGGGCAGCGGGAGGCGCGGGCCGGCCCCGCCCCCGACCTGGGCTCAGGTTTCACCTCCGCCCCTCAGCCCCGAAGGGGGGGGGGGACCCCGGGCCCCGCCCGCGCCGGGACGGGAACGCGGAGCCCCCGGAAGGTGGGACTGCGGGGAGCCCCCCTGGAAGGCCAGGTCCCCGCCACCTGCCCGGAGCTTGCGCTACTCCCCATCTCCTCCGCCCGGGAGGGGACCTCCGGCTTGGGATCAAAGGCACAGCCTGAGCGCGGCCTGGGTCGGGGGAAGGGGCAGGGGCTGGAATGTCGGCGGAGGTCGGACTTGCCCCGACCTGCCCCAGGCGCTGAGCACCTAGGGCCACCGCCTTCTCCTCACGAGGTGTCTAGGTGGCCGGGAGGCCCAGCCCTGGCCTGGGGCAGCCGGAACAAGGTGCCTTTTTGAAGGCCACCTCCGGCCCGGGAGCTGGTGAGGCCGCCCGGATCCCCTACGCCTCTCTGGAGCGTCCTGATTGTGCGGCTTCCCTCTCTGTTTCCTCTCGTCCACCACCCCAAAGCCGACCCCCGCCAGGTCCCTGGCCCCGCACCTCCTTGTAATTGAGTGGGTCCTGCGTGCCAGGCCCGTGCGGGGGTTTGATGAGCCTCTTCTAGGTTAACTTCCACGGCAGAGGACAAAGGCTTGATTCCCCAGAGTCTGGGTGCCCTGTTAGATGGAAACCCCTCTGCCTCTCCCAGTCCAGGGCAGCCCCTCTATTGCTCCTTCCCCAGGCCCGGGCTGCAGGAGGACCTTTCTGGCTCTACCTCCACGATCCACACGGGTCCCTGCCCTGGGACTTGCCCTTGACATCTCTTCCTGGAGTACACATCCTCGCCCTTTATTTTCCTCCCAGCTTCTGTGGAAAGTTGAAGTTGTCTGCTGGTTTATGTCTCTCTCCCTCCTAGAATACAAGCTGCTCAAGGGACTGGCTCCTGTCTGTCCCGGCCTGTGCTGGGTCTACACATACCAAGTACTCGGTATGCGTGGAAAGTAGGTGGGAATGAGAACCTGCCCTCGGTGGACTCCACTAGGCCTCCTGAGACCTGCAAAGGACTCCCCGGGGTCCCTCAGCCCAGCGTTGGACTGTACAGACTGAGGCCAACCCCCGAGAAGAAACCAGGTCAGTCTGAGATGTGCTCCTCCTTTTCGAGGCCAGGAAGCCTGTCCCTGGGGGTGGGGTGGGGTGGTGGTCACACTTTGGGCCTCTGGAGGCCAGGGGTAATGGTTGCTATGGAGACTGACGGTAAGTCCCTGTACATCTGGGAAAGGAGGGAAGATGAGGGAATGCACAGCTGCCCAGGCATCCGGAGCTTGGAATTCCAGCTCCTGACCCTGTACCTGGGGTGAGGGTGGAAGACTCCTCCCACCCAACCAGAGGCCTTTTGTGGGGAGCAGGTGGGGGGGAACAGGCAGAGCCCAAGAGAAGTCTTGCACACAGGGATGGGGGAATTGGGGGGGGACCCTGGAGTCTGCAGATCTACTGTGGTCATCAGGTAGGACTGAAGAAATAATAGTAGAGCGGAGACAAGGAAAGTCATATTTTTTAAATTGCACTTTATACTGGAGATTAAACCCAGGCCCTTTGAACTGAGCTACAGCCCCAGGCCTTTTAAAAGTTGTTTTAAAATTTTGAGACAGGGGGCCAGGGATTTAGCTCAGTGGTTCCACTGCCTGCCTCCCAAGCGCAAGGACCCAAGTTCGATCCCTGGTACCAAAAAAAAAATTTTTTTTGAGACAGGATCTCACTGTTGCTAAGTTGCCCAGGCTGGGCTCAAACTGGAGAGCCTCTCGCCTCAGCCTCCCAGAGTGCTAGGATTACAGGCCTGGATGACTATGACTAGCTATAAAATGCAGTTGTTTTTTGCTTGTTTTTTTAAGTACAATTTCGAGCTGCCTGTAATCCCACAACTTTGGGAGGTCAGGCAGGAGAATCACAAACTCAAGCCCAGCCTGGGCAACTTAGTTATTTAGCAAGGCCCCTGTCTCAAAATAAAGGGTGGGGGTGCTGGAGATGTAGCTCAGTGGGAAGACCCTGTGCTCATTCTCCAGCCCTGCAAAAACAAAAACAAAACAAAAAAACTTGCCACTTACAACTTTTTCCCCTTCCAGGTTACTCCTTCCTTAAATTCTATTTATTTATTGTTTATTGGAGGCAGGGTCTTGCTATGTAATACAGGCTGGCCTTGAACTCACCGTGTAGCCTAGGCTGGCCTCGAACTTGTGGTGAGCCTTCTGCCTCAGCCTCCTAAGTGCTGGGATTACAGGCCTGCCCTGTCATCAGACCTGCCTATCCTTCCCTAAATCCGCCCCCCCCCCTTTAGTACCAGAAATCAAACTCAGGACCTCGGGCTTGCAAGGCAGGCAAGATGCCACTGAACTACATCCTGGCCCTCTTCCTTAAATTCTTAAGTCTTAAAAAAACGGAATAGATTGGGCTGTGACTTTCTCGTGTACAATGGACCTTCCATCTGGGGATGGGCCATCATGTTCCACCTGTAAAATAGGATTTTCACTTGTGATTGAGCCATTACTATCACCTGCAGAATGGGCCACTGCCCTTCTCCAGTAAATTGCGCCAGACTCTCTCTTCTTTTTTCTGTTTTGTTGTTTTGAGGGGTCTCACTGTGTCTTTCAGGCTGGCCCTGAACTCACTGTGTAGCCCAAGGGTGGCCTGGTACTCTTGGTGATCCTCCTGCCTCAGCCTCCCAAGTGCTAGGATTACAGATGTGTGCCACCATGCTTGGCAATTAATCCATACTTTCTATAGATTCACAACTGCACAGATTTCGGGCCCCAAAACACACTAATATACCCAGCCCCACACCGTACTGCCCCTATTTCTCCACAGCCCACACTCTATTCAATCTGTGTCCTTCTTTCATTTTGCCCAGTAAACCCTCCTAATTCCTCTTACAGAGGCATCCTGAAAATTTTTTCTGTGATGGGTGTCAGCGAATCTACTGTCTACCCCATGAATGAGGTAAGATCCTCATCTGCATTTGTCCCCCAAAGGTCCCCCCCTCCCCTCACTCAACCTCAGCCCCCAGGGCAAAAGGAAGGGCTTACCGGCTACCTCCTAAGGGTGCCCTGGGCACATGCTCAGGGAGAGGGACACAAGTCCGGGCATATGAAAGAGCCCTGGTCCTCGGCCTCAGAGCCAGTTTGGCTCAGCCCTGCTAGGACTTTGCTGTGTGACCTTGGGGCAGGCAGGCCCCCTCTCTGGGCCTCCATTGTCCTCATCTGTGCTTGTTGGACTAGTCTGTGTCTCTTCCCTGTGATTTGGGGTGGCCTGAGGGGATGAGGATCCAGCTCAGCCTGCCTGAAACCAGGTCTAGCCAGGGGTCCAGCAGGAAGGGGCCGCCCTGCCCTATCTATCCCTGGGCACTGATCGCTGCTCCTGGTCTCTGGGGCCCATGAAGACCAAGGTCTGGAGAGGAAATTCAGGCAGCCCTGCTGCTCCCCACCTGGTGGGGTCCGTGCCTGCCTCCCTGGGGAAAGGAGAGAAAGCAGGCTCCAAAGCCAGGGTGCCACACATTCTGTACCTGGGTTGGGCTCTTTCCTCTGTGTCCCTCCACTCCTCAGAGCTCAGGACTGCCAGCCTGGGAGTGCTGAGGACTCACCCTTGCTGTTCTTTAAGACCACGAGAGAAGGAAGCGGAAGAGAGAAAGAGGCACTCCCTGCCCAACACCCAAGTCCACGTCCTAACCCATTTGCTACCTGCTTCAGGATCGAGGAGCAGCCTCTTGTCACGGCTCCTGCTGGGCTCTGGGGAGTCAACTAGAGGGCACTGCCACCAGCCCCTGCCTTTAATGCCTTGGCCTGCCACTCAGGCCTCTCATTCCCCATCTGAGGACAAGCGTTCCGCCAACCTGGCAAATTTACCAAGAGAAGCGTGACAGCCAGGTAATGGCGAGAAATCTCCACGATGCCCACGGACGCCTTCTCTGAATCAGGACCTCTACCTCTCCGGGGACCAGCTCTCCGAACTCGGTCTTCCTTGGAGTGGACAGGTAAGGCAGCTCCAATTCTCCACGTGATACAGAAAAAAACTAAGCGCGGGTGCGGGGGGTAAAAACGCCTAGACTGCGTTCGGACTAGTCCAGCATTCGAATCAAGGCTGGGAGTTCTCAAGCAGACCCTTCCTGTCTGGAGGTAAAACCCAATGGAGATTAGGTAAAATAATCTATTTCTATTCCCAAGGTATCACAAATCCGCGGGCCGCGTCCCCAGTGGCGTAGCCCTGCCACGCCTCCTTCCCCACAGCCAATCAGTTGCCTCCCCATAGCGATGTCCTAACCCCTCGGGTTTGGGAAGGGATGCCTCGGGCGCTGACCCCATTCTTTGGAGGTGCATCCGAGGGCTTGAAAGCGCTCAGAGTGATCCCGGTTCAAGGACCGTTGAACCATTTTACAGATGGGAAACCCAAGGTCACCCCAGGGAGAGAACAGTGTTTTCTCCGCGGAGGTGGGAGTCCAGGTGCCCCCTCTTGGGGTCGTAGTCCTTGAGGGAGCTGAGACCGAAGGCAGAGCGTTAAATCTGCCGACTAAAGACATGCTACTGCGCTGAGAGGCTGGCCCCTTCGCTGCCTCAGTTTCCCCAGCACTACCTCTTGTAGGGGACTGGAGTCGGGGCCAGCTGGCCAAACGTGCACCTACTGATTCACAGCCCGATTCCCTGCACCTCCCCAAGTCTGATCGAAGCTCTTTTCCGCGCGCTACTTCCTAAATCCTGTAAATCAGGCCTCCCGTTCGAGCGTCTCGGCGCTCTATTGGAAAGACTCAGGGCTCGTTTTCCTTTCTCTGGAATGAACTGCTCAGACTACCGCGGAGCTTCTCCCTGGGCTCTAACTGCGCAGGCGCAAAGGTAACCAACCAAGTAGGGCTATGAGCCGGGCCAGATGGCTTCGGGAGGGCCGGGGGCGGGGGCCGTGTCAGCCAATGACTTGAAAGAGCTGGGAGGGCGGGATTAGGCCCGCAGTTGCTAAGCGCTGCTCCAGTGGCGGCCCGCTCAGCAACAGGAGCCGCAGAAGTTAAGCAACCGAGAGGCGGGCCTAGGACCGGAAGCAGGAAGGAGGGCGCAGGAAGCGGGGTGCCGCAGCCCGTCGCACAGTCGGTCCGTGGGTTTGCCAGTGCCCAGCGTGGGATGGAGAAGCTGCGGCTCTTGGGCCTCCGCTACCAGGAGTACGTGACTCGTCACCCGGCCGCCACGGCGCAGCTGGAGACGGCGGTGCGAGGCCTCAGTTACCTGCTGGCAGGTGCCATCCTGACCTTTGACCTATTTCTGCGGGGCCCTGATCTATGATCCCTGTGGCCCCCTTTCCCTGCGGCCTCAGGGTAGTGATCGCTGTGCTGGAGAAGTCCCGTCCAGGTTTCCGTGGGGAGTAGGGAGGGGAGTCCGGGAAACCGAAGCTCCAGGTTTGAGGCAAATGCTCACCGACGCCTCCTTTACTTTCTTTAGGTCGCTTCTCCGATTCGCATGAGCTGTCAGAACTGGGTGAGCTGGGCTCTGGGGCGGCGCGGGCTGATCTGGGCTTGGGGTGACCACAGGGGTGACCACATTGCTTCGAGGTCCAGGGCTGCCGGTTAGATTACTCTGTGCTGTGAGTGGCCACGGTCCAGGGCCCTCGGTGTCCCCATAGTTGGGAGACCGGTCTGAGGACTTCAGTGGTTTAAGTGCCTTTCCTGCCCATGCCAGCTTACTCTACCTACACGAATGAGGTGGGCACCGTTGTGTTCGCTGCCCAGCAGAGGGAACAGAAGTTCAGTGAGGTTAGGGAACAGCCACAGATGGCGGCAGAACCAGGATTCAAATCCCGATCTCCCAGAGTTTTGTTTCTCAAACTGGAATTGCCACAGAAGTGTTTGCCCAGTGAGTATTGGAGATGGCAGTCCCAAAAGGAGCTGGGTTTTGAAAGGTGGAGATAGCATAAGCTTTCAGGGATAGGCTGCTGAGGGAACAGGTGAGGAGGTGGAGCCACACGTGTGGCTCTTGGGAGTGTGATGGGGCTTCTGAGCAGCTGGGTGGCTGGTGAGAAGGGGGCAGGGGAGAAGACAGTTGGTCGCTGATCAACCCATCTTGTCTATGAGTCCAGGTCATACTGGGGAGTGGAGCCCCGAGGAAGTGGGTAGAGAGACAGGTTGGTTTCCACATAACCTGTGGGTGGCTGAACACAGCACTACAGGTGATCCGTGGAGCTCTGGGGAGAAGGTGAGGGGTGGAGGCCACAGGGCCACCTCTGAAAGCCAGCCTCTGCCCCTCAGTGTACTCAGCCTCCAACCTGCTTGTGCTGCTCAATGACGGGATCCTTCGGAAGGAACTTCGGAAGAAGTTGCCCGTGGTGAGGATGTTGCCTGTGGTCAGCCGAGGGTGGGAAGCCCAGGGACACGGAACAACATAGTAATAAGCAGCCCATACGTGCAGGGCATTTCTGGCCTCCAAGAGAGATGTGCCTCAAACCAAGTGTCAGTGTCCCCATCTTGGGTGAAGACAGTTTCCAGTAGGTGCAGGAGCCTGTCCCAGGGTACCCAGCCTGTTGGTGGTGGAGTTGGCATTTTATCTAAGCCATACCGCCTAGGCCAGGAAGGGGAAAATCCACATCTTCTGGCCTAGGAGCTCCCTGACCTCTTGGCCTGGGATTCTTTCAGTCGCTGACCCAGCAGAAGTTGCTGACATGGCTGAGCGTGCTGGAGTGCGTGGAGGTGTTCGTGGAGATGGGGGCTGCCAAGGTGTGGGGCGAAGTGGGCCGCTGGCTTGTCATCGCCCTCATCCAGCTGGCCAAGTAGGTCGGGCTGTGCAGGGCAAGACTGGGGTGGACTGGCCCCGCTGGCTGTAAGGAGGGTGCTCAGCAGGGTACCTCTGCCCCGCGCTTGCCAGCCACCTCCCCTAGCCGTGCTGTACCCCTTCCCAGGGCTGTCCTGAGAATGTTCCTGCTGCTCTGGTTCAAGGCTGGCCTCCAGACCTCACCCCCCATTGTTCCCCTGGACAGGGAGACCCAGGCACAGCCCCCAGGTAAGTCGCTTTCTTGCTCTGGAGTGGGGCTGACCATCGTGAATACCTTGTTGTAGTACATTTGCCCCATCACCCTATATCCTGCATTCCACAGAGAAGAAAAAGATTAGGTTGGGGACCAACCTCATCTCTGTACTTGTTCTGTATCACAAGCCACAGGCCCAGAGCACCAGCAGCTCTGTCCCCTCGGCTGTGGCCACACTGCCTGTCAGCCCCAGCCTCTCTGCTCACCTGCAGCAGGCACAGAGAAAACGGGTTCAGGGGATGTGGCTTCTGGTCTGCTGTGGTCCCCATGCACATGGCTGGCCTGGGCCCTCCTTGCCTTCGGGCCCTGGGAAGCCTGGGTTCTTGGCTTGCTCTGGTCACAGGGGACACTGGTCCCTCCCCACGCCAGGGAGGTTTTTAGATGCTCCCTCTGGCAGGTCCGGTGCACACACAGCCGTGGCCACTGAGCATTCGCCACATACGTGTTCTTTTCAGGCTGTGCTGGAAGTGTGTTCCTCTAACAGGGTGGCCTCTGTCTGTCCCTGCTAGATGGTGACCCCAGCCGGAGTGACCAGGAGCAGTCCTATGTGGGAAAGCGGTCAAACCGAGTGGTGCGCACCCTTCAGAACAGTAAGTGGGCCCCTCGTTGCTGAGGTGCCATCTCCCTTCCCTGGCCCCTCACTCATCCACCACCTCTGTGTCCCAGCTCCGACCCTGCACTCCAGGCACTGGGGAGCCCCCCAGCAGTGCGTGGCTCGGCCGCAGCGGCAGGAAGAGCTGAGCATCCCCCCCACGCCCCTGGGGCTGCAGGAGACCATCGCAGAGTCCTTGTACATAGCACGGCCTCTGCTGCACCGTATCCTTGGTCTGGGCTGGGCTGGCACCATAGCTGGGCAGGTGGGGGTGAGGCAGGCCGGGCCCATGCTGGAGACATCCTTGACACCTTGGCCGTCAGTGCTCAGTCTAGGCCTCTGGGGTCAGCGGTCGTGGACACCCTGGCTCCTGTCTGGTGTCTTGGACGTGACCAGGTGAGCCTGGGCCCAACTGAGGGCTTCATGCTTCAGGCCCCGCCTCAGTTGGGTGGGCAGCGCTCCCTGCTTCTCCTGTGGCTGCCTCTATGGCCCCCAACCATGACCGATCAGCCCCTGGCCCTGACTGCGTCTTCTCCCACCCTAGCCTCAGCCTCCTGAGTGACAAGAAGGCCCTGACACGGAGGGAGCGGCTGGAGCTGCGGCGGCGGACCATCCTGCTGCTATACTACCTGCTGCGCTCCCCATTCTACGACCGCTTCTCTGAGTAAGGAGCCCCCTCCTCAGCAGCCTGGCCCAGCCCCCGCAGGTGCCGGTCCTCCACCCTCATTGGCACCTTCCCTTTCTCCCTGCGGCCCTGCCTGTCCCCAGAGCTCTCCGGGCCGGCCGTCAGCCCTGTGAGCCTGAACACTTGGTGGCAGGAGACACACAGGGGCAGGGCCCAGGGCACTGCCATGAAGCGTGCAGTCAGTGGCAGCTGCAGGCTCTCCAGCCCTTTCTCCATCTTTCTGCCAAGTAGTCTGGGTTTTCTCCATGTCTCGGAGGGGGCACTTGGGGTTCAGAGCGGTCAGGGCAGACTAAAGAGGGCTGGATCCCAGATCCATCATTCTCTCTCTCCCCCCTCTCCCTCTCTCCCTCTCTCTCCCCCCTCTCCCTCTCTCTCCCCCTCTCTTCCCCTCTCCCTCTCTCCCTCCCTCTCCGTCCCTCTCCCTCTCTCTCCCTCTCTCTCCCTCTCTC